CATTTTATACTAAATATAAAGAAAAGGTCAGTTTAACAGATACTGCATTGTTAGTACCTCACTTTAATTAAAAAAACACTTTAGTAGCAGAAAAACAAAAAAACAAAGTACAAGCTGGCTTAGAACAAAATTACTTATCTAAGTGCAAGCAAGATTCAGGGGACATACGATGTCTCAGTTGAAACGTTGCGATGATGGGCTGCTTCTGGAAAAGTGGCAATCATTAAAATGCCCAGAGGAAAACGACTTTATTCAATTGTCGCATAGTTTACAAAGAGCCCTTGCACTTAGTAATGGGAATGCAGATTGACAATGAAATATGTAATAAGTCGAAAGGTGTAAAGGTGGAACGGATATATGGATCAAACAACTCACGTGATCATATGATCGATCAAAGTGTAGAGTGGGATTAGTAGAATTAGGTACGATAGGTACCGTGATCGCTGATTTGATAATAATGATGAGAAATTAAAAGTTTATTTTATTAACAATGAAGAAATAGTTAAAAGGGTACACAAAGTATGTAATAGAGCATTTTGTATAAATAGTGAATGTAAATAAAGAAAATCAGTTAGTCTCTTGACTAGAAATAAAGTAAATATCTAATTACAAGCAAGACTTACATGAAAGTTGGCGTGTTTTGAGTACAAAGGCGTGTGTGTGTCTTGTGTCAAGCAAGACAAGTAGTATTAATAAAGCCATCTGGGCAAGATAACAGTTGCTACGGTGATTGCCTAACTACATGACATCAATTACAGACGTACACAAAGCCTTTGAAAATAACCGAAGGTTGTCAGAATCTATGCAAAAGGCCAAGGTCTGTTATGCAAGAGTCAGTTCAGAGCACCAGCAAGGTGATCTTGAATGACAGATCACAGATCTCCAACATAATTACCAGGGATACAAAATCATTAGTGACATCAGTTCAGAACTCAATTAGAAATGCAGGAGGTTTCTTACCCTTTTGAAACGAATACACTCTGAAGGAGTCGAATAAGTAGTAGTTGCCTGAAAAGACTGTTTGTGTCACTTTAGATCCGAACTTGTAGAGTGGATCTTTGAAAAAAATGGGACATGGCTCATGGTATTCGGTTCAGATATTTGTGCCAATGATAACGAAACTAGAGAACTCGCAGAAGACTTACTTTTAATCGTCACAATGTTTGTAGTATGATATAATGGATTATGCTCTGCTGCCAATTGCAAAAGAAGAAAAGATACTGCCTAAACGATTCAAAAGTTTCAAGAAGGAAGTAATGAAACTTCCAGCAGGCAAGGTACGACGCATTCACCTTTTTCCCACTCAGGAGAAACGATTGAAACTTAGGCAATGGATAGGAACAGCTCGATGAACATACAATCAATGCCTTATTGCAGTTGAAAAAGAAGGTGTCAAACGAAAAAAAAAGAACTTACAGGCTCAATGTCTTAATGCTGTAAACTTTCAGAATAAAACAGAACTTGAGTAGATTTTAAAAACACCTTATGATATACGAGATGAAGCAATGAATGACTTACTTAAAGGATATGCGTCTAATTTTGCTGCGAATCATAAAAACTTTAAAATGAAGTTTCATTCTAAAAAAGATTCACAACAATCAATTGCAATACTTTCTAAAC